GTTTAGAGCATTGAGCAGCTGGAGAATGAGCTGCTGAATGGGCAGAAGCTTCAGGGTCCCGCCACAGCAAGTGAAGTCCACGTAATCTTGAAACAGAAAAACATGTTGGAAAAGTAAGTTTGTCTTCTAAGGAACAAAAAATTTTGATTTATAAAGAAGCGTCCATTGTTACAAAAAAACTAAAATAGCTCGGAGTGCTAATTTTAAAACTTTATGTTACAGTTATAAGCAAACAGCTGTTATTGTTGTCTGTGTGTGCTTGTTTTGTCTGTTGTGTTAGCGAAATGTTTTGAAGAACTACTAAAGAGGTTTTTATTACATAGGCAAAAATCCACTTTTTTAGCCATTAAATGCATTTTGTTGTGTACTTGGAGTTTYTAGGAGCGCAGTAAAGTTAAATTTAGTCTCTCTCTGTGCTGCAAAAAAATATCTTTAAATTCTGTTTRGGGAATGTTTTTCAACCTGTTCAGTTTTCTCTATTTTTTTGKTTTTTTTAGGAGGAATTCAGACCAAGGCATTGCATTTCCACTTTATATAAACTTATTTACATGACAGATATAAGCTGTGAAAAATAATGATTTAAAAGCATGATATGACTCCTTTAAACTCTCAGAAAAGGATTGTTGGATGCACGTCTCCAACTAACTTTTGGCATCTTAGTTGAAAACCTTTATTTTTTATTAAATCTTTGACCTTTATTTGTTTAATGCTTTGGACCAAGACAAGTTTGTTGTTTTTTGACCGAGCCTTTCTCTTGTTTCCTGCAGGTTTCCTCTTTTCACTGCGGTTCAGGAGATCTGCTTCAGTGGTCACCCAGTCACGGATTTCATCAAGTGTTTGCAAAACCACCCAGAGCACATGTGAGAGTCTTGACTTGAGGAATCACAGATTGGATGGAAGTTGGGAAAGACTTTTACTCTACAGCTTCTGTGTAACCACGGTGGTAATGGAGGAGACACTTTCGGTCTTGATCTTTTCTTGTTGAAGTCAGTTCGGTTCCCCGCCATAGAAAACAAAAAGTATCGCCCTTCGCCTACCTGAACTTCTGACAGAAACACCTTTTCTCTTTTTGTTTTTACTGATTGATAAATTATTGCTTAATTCTTCCAAGTCTTAAACGTTTTAAGATTTTAAATCTCTGTGCCTTACATGGACTGATATGCTAATAATGAACTCTGTCTTATGAAATGTTACAAAACATTTTTTAAATAAAAGTGGATTTAAAAAAGCCCTGAACAAAACTCACTGCCACTAAATGGTTTTAACTGAAACGATGCAACAACCTACTTTGCAAAAATGTATTTTTCAATAAATTATTAAATCTTTTATTACTTTGTACTTGTTAATATTCCCCTTTTGCTGTAGCCCTGCAGGATCCGCTCATACAGTTTGAGGAAAGCAGCATTGCTGTAACCTGAGCTGAGATGAGCCTGGCTGCTACTCTAAACTCTTCACCTTTACCATTTTCACCAGCGTTGAGATCAGCCTTTCTTTAAGTGCACGACCTGTCTCGGTCACAGCCCCCGTAGGTGACGCCCTGCACTGCTCACGAAGAATCCTTTCTCGTACTTAAACAATTACTTTATTCCAAGTCGCAATCACTGTGTGGAGTTTCAGTCCATGATTTCTCCTTCGTTTGAATGTTCGTGGCCTGTTTTCATAGGTTTAGAATCAAAATTTCACGTACCCTTCCTGCAAGTTAAAGATTGTGGAAAATCAGTGTTTATATGAAATAACTTGGATGACCATTTGTTTAACTTGGATTATCTTGAGATCCCTTGAATACCCATTGAGTCAACTGCCCTCTGAGACATCTAATAATACACCCTCCAAAGGAGCAAATGTCCATCTATAATTAGAGAGCAGATAGCAATGCAGCTGCCTCATTCCAACTTGACAACACGGATGGATGGAACGATGGATGGATGCTTTCTTTGGAATACTCCATCATGGCATTTGAACAAAAAAAAAAGTGTAGCTACCTATCAAGGGATTTAAAGTTTCAAAACTTGTTTTACCTTTAAATGAGGTTTCTTGTAAATAAAGTGATATAAATATGATGTCAACACGTTCTCCACGTGATTGTAATACACTTTTTCAGCACTAGGGTGTGCAATCACATCAACCATGGACTCGACACCCCACTATCTGCCTCTTTCTCAGTTCCTGGTGAAACCACCCCCCCCCCCMAAAAAAAAAAAAAACACATTAATGAGATGTTAAACTGTGATTTTTTGTGTATGTGTGTTTTCTAYTAACAACTAAAATATAAACCGATTAAAAACCGAAATAAGCTGAAATGCAGGCCATGTGGTACATTTACACACCTCTTCTTAAGAGAAGGGAGGGGCTTGCCTCACTTCCTCAATTCCAGTCTTCGTCTGGAGCCAGCAGCCAATCACCGTCAAGCTAGCTGAAAGCAACCGGAAACTCATTTGCAGCTGTTTCAAAACTACAAAATAAAAGTCACTTCGAAGGCAACCCATATTTTACTTATTTTTTACTTAAGTTCAGCTGCCAAATATATATATATATATATATATATAATTCTTGATCAATCCCAAGATTTTCAGATAATAAACAGCAGAAAACCTTGCATGAGTGTCTCTCAGTGCAGTTAGAGTACAATGATTTTGTAGCAACACGAATAACACAACTATTGCATTTRTCAATTTATGACCTTTGTTTTGCATCATTGAAGCAATTATGCCAAAATACATCAAACTTTTTAAGCTTGATTTTACCATCTTCCATTCATCCATTATCTACACTCGTTTCTTCCTTTCAGGGTCACAGGGGTCACTGGTGTCCATATCCAGTAGTCACAGTGCGAGGGGTGAGGTCCACCCTGGACAGGACACAAGTCCATCACAGGGCATTTTACCATCTTAAGATCCTCATACTGTATTTAATTAGTCAGAAATCACAAATTCAAGAACCAATGATCAGGGAGATGCTTGTTGAGTAATGATAATCAAAAGTAATGAAGACAAGTTATAAACAAAAATTCATGAAGTAAAAATATAATAGTAAAAATGACATTTGTTAATATTTATAAGTAATTTGTCCTTGAACTAAAGATTTGTAAGCATAATTTGTAAACTACCATGTGTACTTTTTCTATACATTTGTTGAGTAAAGTCTGAGATTACAGTGCAGTGTTTACAATGAATGCATCTACATTTCAGAATTGTACATTTGGGGGAAAAAGTCATTTAACAATTAACAACTCAGATTACATTTTTGTTTGCCTTTCAATGAGTACCTTTATTGGGGAAAAAAGAAAAAGAACGTAACTAAATACTGTTTCATTTTTTAAAGAAAAGTTTGAATGATAACACAAGCGACAAAATCAACATGTTGTGCAACCTTTTGTTTTGAAAATCGTAACCGGAAGCGTAGCTCCGCTCGCGCAGACTTCTACTTGGTGAGGTGAAGTTGAGCATAGATATTAAAGACTAGATAGGTCTGTTGGCATATRGAGACAGACGTCGTCACACGGCAGCCATCTTGGTGCAGGGAGCACTCCCACTCTTAACATGAACGTGAATGGTGCATTTACTATTAAAATAACCATAACTTCATCTATTTTCATCGCATTTTCAAACAGATTGTTTTGTTGTAAATGTGAGGTATGTTGTTATAAAATGACATATAAAAATAATGTTATACAGATAGGTAAAGTAATAGCAATATATACAGAGAAGACACTTAGATTACTTTTACATGTATTTACAAATAAAAACATACAGCAAAATTATACACAAATTTATTAAAAAATTGTACTGGCAGTGGTAATGAATATGGAAGAACCCATTTACATCTATTTTTCCCTAAACATAAAAATGGCCCACATAATCCTTTTACATCATAAAAATTTGTGCCTTACACTATATATATATAAACACAGATGTTTATAGATCTAAACATAATAGAGTAAATTAGAGGCAACATACACATTTTCTTTTAAATAAATTCGTGAATTTACTTAACTTGATTTAGTGGAACCAGTTTGGTTAAATAAATTCAACACTTTATTTGTTAGAAAGCATGGAAAAATACTTTTACTTTACTGATTTTTGTGAACAGTTTTATAACTTTTAATTAAGTCCTTTTGTCTGTAAAATTTATTTTTTTACCAGTCATTTTCTGTTAAGGTAATTTTACTATTGCTTATTTATGTCAAGTACATTGTAGACCTGCAGTTGTGATACTGTTATATTGTAATGTTTTAGTACTCCATTCAACAGAAGCCCTATTACACTCATGTAATATGATTCTACCAGCTAAAACAAACACGAGTGAAAAACATGTGTCTAAAATGTGCTCTGATCAACAAAACTTTATTTATTACTAAACKTGCAGAAATAACTACTGAAGTGTGACATTTAATTATATATTATATTTATGATATCTATGATCTATAAAAATGGTGTTCAAAAGAAAGACTGAATGACAAATTATAGGATGATATTCCAAAAAAGATTTGGGTCAATACTATTATACTGTTCTTAATTGGCATAAGCTGTATTGTGCACAGATCCAGCATATAACTAGTAATAATTCAGTCACAGAGCTTACAGGTGAAAKGTGATCCACAGGTTCTTGTTTTGATTCTACAGCTGTTTGAACATCTGTAAGCTGCAGAAGTCAGACATTTTGTGGAGGTTTACTTCTGTAAACAAAAAGCAGCAATTAGCTTTTAACAAACCACACTGCTTGTAAATCAGGTGCGGCTTCTGTTAAATTAAAAACAAATATCTCCTGATCATTCAAAATTGCTGGGTGAACTTTGAAATATTATTAGCTAATTATTAGCCTGCTGCAAATACAATCGTGATTAAAATGGCCATTTAAACAAAAGATTACTTTGTCATTAAATCATTACTGGTCTCAGGAAAACGTAGCTTATTAAGAGTTTAAAATCTTGACCAGCCTTGATAACAATAACATTCACAAGAAGCTAGCTGTGAACTACCGTATTTACTCATGTATAATACGATCTCGAGTATAATCTTTTTTTAGCTTAAAAAGCATTAAAAAATCTAATCATCAATAACCCATGTTTAATACTACCACCCAACTTTGTGGATGATTTTTAAGGTTAAATTTCTAGTATTATGCATGAATAAGTACAGTATATGCAAAACAATTAATCTTTTTTAACAAAATATTGCATTCTCAGCATGTCTAACTAGCCCAAATCATAACCACCTTAATAACCTTTGTGAAAAACCAAACTGTTTGCAAATCCATCAAGATTTCAGCGAGTAAAGCGTATTTTTGTCTGTGTAAACCACTCACGTCATTAAAGTTCCCACAGCTACAGCTAGTGTTGCTAGCTGTACCAAGATGGCCGCCGCGTGACGACGCCGGAGGCTCCGCCTCAGCTCCTCTAACCTTTCTTATGTCTGTGGAGTTGAGTGTGGCAACACAAGTGGCACCGCGCGGAGCGGAGGGAGAAACTGCCAACGAGTTGAACTCTCCCTCTCTTTTCCGAAGAGAAAGTACTTTCCTCCGTGTGTCCGGGGACGGGAAGGCAGTAAAAACATGGCTGCTCTTTCAGCCTGGTTCTGGAACGAGAGGTTTTGGCTGCCGCACAACGTAACCTGGGCGGATCTGGCCGACCCAGCTCCCGGGGTGGAGTATCCCAAAGCTGGACACTTGTTGGCAGCTTTACCGCTGGCTCTGGGGATTTTTACTGTCCGGATACTGTTTGAAAGGTTCGTATTTGAAAACCGTGTATTTGTTAGTAAGTCGGACACTTCTGAAAGTTGTTTTTATGTTGATTTTAGTTTTTGTTCCTTCTCGGCAGATGATGCATTAGCTAACTGGTGTGCCTGCATAAATTCACGTTATATACAAGGGAAAAGTCACATGTAACCATCAACACAAGCTGCAGAACAGATTTATGATAGTTACTGTTTACTGATATATTTCCTGGTTTAAAAGCCTGCGATCGAACTCTCATTAACCCAGTCGAATTAAAGTACATTTTCCAAGCAAAAAATCATTCAGAAATGTTAAATCTGTAACCGCAACGTGCCTGTTTAGACGTTTTGTTGTCGTCCCCGGAAATACACCTTTCTCGGAAGTGTCTCTGAAGTTTACAATTCCGTGAACCCCCTCATCGTGTCATTTCATAACCCTGCTATAAACCGTCTGGATCTGGTTGCCTATCCAGTTCTGTGCAAAAGTTTAGCCGCGCTTTTGTTCACCAAATTGCACTTTGGTTTCCTGCCTGTTTGAATTCCTGCCAGCAGCAAGCTTCGCCAAAAGAAACCAGCTTTGGTGACCTGCAGGCGTTTTGAAACCTTTCAAAAGCGCTGGATTTCTTTCATGTGTGGCTGCAGCGCTGCAACAATGTGACGTCTTTTTCACGGCAGCTCTGGCCTTCCTGCTTCCAGGTAGTCACTGCACATGTCAAGAAAACCGATCAAAGAAAAACAATCATTTTTTCCCTGATATTTATGGCTCTTAAATGACCAACTACCACTACAATGAGTGTTTGTTTACCTATGGAGACAAACAAAGTGGCTGAATATAGGTCAGCAGTGGCCATGCTCGTTATAAAGCTGTTTTGCAGGGAGAAGTCAGACAATGTGCACACATTTAGGCTGTGATTTGTGGAGTAAAATCTGCAGATAGTGTATGAAAGTTGTATGTTTCCACAGAAGCATTTTCTCTGAAATCCTGGGCTTGTCTGAGTCCACCAAGTTCGGTTTCCAAGACAGACTAAACATAGCCTCTTGAATGACTCAAGCTTCCATGTGCTGTTTGGGGATTTAGACAGGTGCTTTGTTTACATTGATTGTGTACCTGCATTTCAAAACTGCACAAGTATATCTGGAAAACTACTAAAGTAAACTCTTTAGATCTGCACCATTTGTTATAGTTAAGATAGCCTTTATTATCTTACTATAAACAGTTTACAAAAGTACTTTTAAGTGCAGAAAAAATGACAACTATTTGTAGATAAGAAATGAGCGCTTATTCAAGGCACTTTATGGCCTCAGGTTGAATGTTTCAGGTGCATCAGCATTACAAGTGACCCCACCGATGAACTTTTTAGGTGTGCCTTAAATTCGTTCGGTTCTTTGTCAGACCTCAAAGTTGCAGTTTAACTACCAGTACATAACGTTGTAAGAAAAGATGCTGCTCATGGGTTTCTCATCTCGTCTGTCAGTGTGTTTTTTTTTTTGTTGCCATTTACTTGAGCCAGTTCTCTGTGAGGCAATAGGAAGCCCACTGACCAAAACGTTAACTGATAATGAAGGACCTGATGCACTGGTTGTACCAGTGTTAATGGCRCGTTCAATTTAAAATGTGAAATAAGTACTGGACGCTTTTGTTTTCCCATTTAGTTCTGTTTAGTCTTAAATCTGGACAAAGACAGGCAGGCAGGCTGGCTCAAAGGTGACAGAAAATCATCTTTGACAGGGCTCCGTGTTAAAAACATACATTCAAAAATAAGTAAAAAAAAATAAGCAAACATCAGTGACACTTAAGTGCTGTAATAAAACCCATATCCACACAAAACAACCAAACTTCAACAGTCCTACAATGGGGGGGGACTATACAGCCTTGTTTGAGTAATTGCACACTGCAAACAATGTTCACCTAACCAAGTTTTAAAATCTTATATCCAGGCAAAAAGTATTTTTGATCTTGTTTTGAGACTGATTTACTAAACAAGAACTGATTGTGGAAGAATAATCATCTTGTTTTCAGAATGTGTAAGATTATTTGTCTTGTTCGCCTGAAAATTTGACTCAAATTCAGTCCAAAAATTTCTGCCAATGGAGTAAGAACATTTTACTTGGTAAGATTCTTGAAATACTTGATTTGACTGAATTTTTTTCTTATTTCAAAAATCTAACCAAGTAAAATGTTCTTACTCCATTGGCAGAAAATATTTACTGAATTTGAGCCAAATTTTCAGACTAACAAGACCAGGGGTGCCCAAACATTTTTCTCCAAGGGGGCCAAAATGAAAATCTATCCGGGGCTGCGGGCCAAATGCAGTTATATAATACATGAAAAACAAATACTTTTTAAAGTAAAGTCCTTTATTTTTAACGATTAAGCTATGCAATGGCCCTCTTTTGTTTTAGTCTGTGCACTTGGAGAAAGTTTACCATATGCTCAAGTAGCAAAGGCTCATGGGAAATTTTATAAATTGATAAAATATGAGTTTTTGTGTCCTTATAAAGTGTGAATATCCACATGTGGGGTTAAATCTGATATAAATATTTCTTGTTGTCGTTTCATGTTTAATCCTAATAAATCAAAGATATGTCAGCACCATGAATGAAAACTACCTTCACTACAGCCCTTTTATATAGTCATTTGACCAATGGAAATACTGTGTTTCTATCTATAGGATAACAGGTTACAACCTTGTAACTTTGGCAACTGTTGGTGGGCCAAATCAAATGGCTTGGCGGGCCAAATTTGGCCCGTGGGCCCCACTTTGGGCTCCTCTGAACAAGACAAATAATCTTACACATTCTGAAAACAAGATTATTATTCTTACACAATCAGTTCTTGTTTAGTAAATCAGTCTCAAACATGGCTGGATATAAGGTTTTAAAACTTAGTAAGATGGACAGTTTTTGCAGTGCAGAGGGGACAATTGATTTTTTTATATAAGTTTTTCCTGGCCAGGGGAACTTTATAACGCCTGCCAGAAGGGAGAAGCTGAAAAAGATGGTGAAGGGAATGTGACTGGTCCTCTGCGATCTGAATGGCTTTCCTGACCACAGAGGTCCTGCACAGCTCAGACAGTGGGTTTTGTATGAAACCTGTAATCTTGGTAGTCTGATTAACGATGCGGGATAGTTTTGGTTTTTGTTTCATTGTCATGAAACTATACCAGTTTGAAATATTGAAAGTGAGGATGGATTCGATCAATGACCTGTAGACCAGTTCCAAAACATTTTTTTTACTGATACGGGATGCTTTTAGTTTCCTCAGTAAGTGGAGGCGTTGGTGAGACTTTTTGTAAATGTTTTCAACATGCTTAGAGAAGGAAAGGCTACTGTCCATTTCTATGCCGAGATGTTTAAAACACTCACCCCGCTCCACTGCTTGGTCTTGAATGATCAAAGGCTTAAGGAAACTGTTACACGTTTTACCCGCAAAACCCCTTAGTTTTGGTGACATTTAGGGCTAAGGAGTCCTCTGCAAAGGTCTGGACCAGGTTATTTACCACCTGCTCATGAGTGCAGATCTGTGTCAGTCAAGTGAGCCACCAAAGCCATGTCATCTGCATATTTCACCAGTGTCATTCCTTCGCTGCTGCAGGTTTATATTGTTAGTGTACACAGAAAAAGGAATAGGTGATAAAACACAATCCTGTGGTAGTCCAGCATTTAAAACAAACGTATTAGACCTAAAACCATTGTAAAAACCTGCTGTGGTCTATCCTGTAAAAAAACTTTGAATCCATAAAATCAGTTTAGAATCAACCTGAAGCTCTGAAATACGGTGCAACAAGTGTTAATATTCTCAGTGTTAAAGGCAGTTGTAAAATCCATAAATAAAATACGAGTGCAGGGGTGTGTGGAGTCCAGTCGCCTTGTGACGGTCCAACAGGTTGCGACTGGCATCCTCAACACTGCGCTAGGCTTTACAGGCAAACAGAAGAGGGTCCAGATGGTGTGAAATCATACCAGACAGGCAGTGAATCACCACCAAATTTGACACGAAAGTCACGTTTTAGTGGATTTTGCTTAAAGTCACCCTTAGACAAGCTTGCCATTTTAAATTCTTAGCTCTGTTTTCTAGATTTTAGAGTTTCAGGCTATAGAACACATATTTAACATCACGTTAGCTTTTTTCTTTGGAGACACCAGCTGTGAGATGAGCACCTTCAAAATGCAAACTCCTGAAGAACAAACCGACAAACCTTCATGTTTCTAATCTAACCTGACATGTCATCGTTTTATTGAAAGATATGGTCAGATGCTGYGTTTTGCAGGCTTTCCCGAAACGCCCTAATTCACAGCCGGCGTTGCAATGACCTTTGTTTCCATGTTTCGATCTACCCCTCAGTTCTCCACTAAAACCACAGCTCGGCACAGAACCCGCGGCACGTCAACACTGCTCTTTCAAATCCGCGCACACTGTTTTCTACACTGAGGGAATATGTTTCACTAACTTGTTTTAGAGAGACTTTTGTTGTCATCGTACAGAGCACAATGAAATTACAGAATTACAATTTTGCTTTTGTTTTTGTTGTTTTGTTTAGACATGACACTGGCCTCGCAATGTAGTTTTGTAACTTTTGCTTGTATGCCAGAATGCCAAGTCACCAGAAAACTAATCAAACTGGTCCTCTGGCATTTTAAGCACATGACGGATGGAAATTTACTCTGATTGTTGTTTATTGCTTAGCCCGATCTGTTGTGGCGTCGTCCCAAGACTTGAAGCAAATCATTAAGTGTGTCTTTTTTAAGTTTGACGATTAGTTACGATCTCTGCAATCATTAAAAACTCCTGCTGCAACCAAGATTAGTGGAGACTGTTTTGGGTRCAGAATAATTTCCCAGAACGTCATTTATAATCCATTTCTTCCATTTTAAATTCAATTAAGTGATATATTTCCAACTTGCTTGTACATAATATTGTTTGAAGCACACCTGACAGCGATGTGACAACAAACAGAAGCCCACGTCAGGAACTGCACGTTGGTACACATTCTACAGCCGAACACTCGAGC